CCACCTTCCCCATCGTGCTGGGTGAGCCATGGGCTTGGGTATGAGCGCTTTGCTCCTGCTCTGGGCTGCATGAGCCCTGGGGCTGCAGGAGCAGAGCCGGGGCTGAGCTCTTTGTGGTTCTGTTGTTCCCACCAGGAGCAGCAGATGGAGTTTTTCTCCCCTGCTGATGCTCCCCAAGCCCCACCGTGGCTCCTCTGGGCACCCACTGAGCCCCTCTCTCTGTCCCTCAGGAATGATTGTCAGCGGCATCTCCCGCCTCTGCTCCTCTGCCCTGGAGCCCTTTGGAGAGCTCCACCGGGAGGTGGAGATCCACCGCACTTACGTCTCCCAGTCCGTCCACCTCTTCATCCTCTACTTCTTCAACATGGCCGTGCTGGCCACCTACCTCCCACCGGAGCTCCTCAAGCTCATCCCACTGCTCACAGGGCTCTTCGCCATCTCCCGGTAAGTGCCTCCTTCACCCCAGGCTGCTGTTGGGCTCTGTCAGTGCCAGCTAACACCATCCCTTGGAGCAAACTCCCACTCTGGCAGCACCTCACCCAGCTCACCAGAGCCAGGAAGGGTTCCTCTTCCTACAGCAGCCATGCCTGGGAAATCCTCACTGGTCAGAACCACTGAGTGCCAGCCCCATAGCATCACTTTGGCTGAGCCCGCACCCTCTGCCTTCTCCAGGTTGATTTTCTGGATGTCCTACGCCATCGGCCGCTCCTTCCGTGTCTTCGGCTTCAGCATGACCTTCCTGCCGCTGCTGGCCATGCTGCTCTGGAACCTGTATGGCATGTTCATCCTGGAGCCCGAGAACCTCCTCTCTGTGGCAGCGCCAACGCCCGAGGGCCACTCCAAGGAGAGCCGAGCTAAACTCCGGCACTGGGGCTGAGGGAGGCCGGGAGATGGGGCGCCTGGACCCTGCGAGTTTGAGCCCTCCTTCGTGCCCTGCCTCAAGAGTCCTGACAGCACAGGGGTGCTGGCAGATCCAGCTGGGCCCCTGCTCCCTGCCTGGACACAGGGAGGTTTTGCTGGGCCCCCAGAACCAGGCTGCAAACCCTGTGCACCACGAGACTCCTGCTGGAAGGTGAACGAGGCCCAGAGCAGGGCACAGTGAGCCCTCTTCCCTGGGAATGGGTGGGATTTGCTTCCCCTCCTGCTGGAGCCAGCTTTGCCCAATAAAGCTCTTACCAAGCAGCTCTGTGGTTGGTTTGCAAACGGTGAGTTCAATTCCCCACAGAATGACTCAGAGCTTCGCGTACAGGATGCAATCACCCAGCCTCAAAATTATGTTTCCAAGAGGGAAAAAATGTTTCCCCCAAACTGTCCCTTTCCCAGCCCTGCATCCCACTCCTGGGTCCCTGCATAGCCAATCTCTGTTCGTCCCTCCTCTTCCTCCTGGTGGAGGTTCAGCACGAGTTTACAAAGCAGTTGGTTGGACAGGAGGGAGGAAGCCCTCCCCAGGGAGAGCTGCAGGGAGAAGACAGGCTGGGTGACATGGCACCAGGTTTGCCACTGGCCAGGGCTAGGGATGGCCAGTCCTCCCCAGGATGGGTGCTGAGCCTCTCCTTCTGCAGACACGAATGGACCCCCTGGGAGTCGCATATTTGATGGCCTCAGTTCTCAGTCATAACCTAAAGCAGTTAAAAATCCACCCAATCCAGGAAAAGCCACTCCAGCTCCAGATCTGCCGCATGTCTGGCTTGTCCCACCTCCCATCCTGCAATGCTGGATCACAGGAACAGCCCACCCCAACCAGAGAATGGGAATCAAGGAGCTGAGGGACTGCAATGAAGCTGTGTCAGGGGAGGCATCTTGATCTGAAAGCCAGGTATCCACCAAGGAAGGCAGGAACCTCCCCTGCAATGGAAAATGTGACCCCCTTCCCTCCAAATTATTTTAACTCTGAAATCAAAGGGCTTTCAGGCAAAGATATGGGAAAAGAGATATACATACAGTTCTTTACTAGTATGTGTATGTATAACTAGGAAACAACAATGTGAAAACCACGTTCACTCTCCTGTGAAAATTTTAAAAGTTAATAAAGGGCAATAGGAGACAAGGACCATAGAGCAGAGGTTAGGGTGCATCTCAGCATGCAGCCAAGACCACACTGTTATCTTCAGGGATGCCCCTTAAATACCTTTTCCCTTCCATCAGCCTGTTGCATATTCATAGACTCTTATGCAGAGTGAACTTTTTCCCCAAATTAGTTTACATGTTCCAAAAATTGTTTCGTTTATCTCCTTGGATCCACTTTTTAGAGTATGCACATTCCTTGGTTGTGGTTTTAATCCTTTTTTATCATCACCTTCAGTTTTGGCCTCAGCCCACATTGTCTTCAGATGGTGGGTGATGCTAGTTGGCATATATGTAGCAGATATGTTCATCATGTTTTCATCGGATGTTATCCCATCCAAGCAGGCATTTTAACACAAGCATACTTATATCAGCTATTTCATTAGTATGTCTAAGCTTAATTAACAACAGAAATAAAAACTATATGTTTATAGCAAAGTTATTTTAACACCACACATATAAAATCCATTTTAACATTTGCAAAAAGCCGATATTAGAATATGTATCTATAACAAACAAGTGGCAGCAAAACCAGACAAAACCAAAAAACCCCATAAAGTCTCTTTGTTAAAAACCAGGACCACACTCCTCGTACTAAAAGTGATTTCAGCATTTATTATAAAAAAGAAAGGCCTAAAGCAAGGTGGCCTGTGGGCCGAGCAGGAGCATTCCAGTTGAGGATGCTGCAGCGCTGGCACTGGGGTTTCTTGAGCAGCAATGTCCCTGATGTTCCAGGTGGAGCGGCACAGATTCAGTGGGTCAGATGCCCTTTTTATCCTGTTTTTGTCCCTTTGGATTGCTTTCTGTTGGGATCCTGCATTTCCATGAAGATTTAAGATGCTTGATTGGCCCTTACAGTTCTGTCCAGGCTGGCTCGTTTCGCTTGGGGGGTGGTGCACTTTACTTAGGAGTAATAAAGTACATTGAGTACCGTATTTCTTATAACTACCCTTTTAACCCCTTTTACAATATAATAACCAAATAACAGCACACGCTTAACAATTACCAACTATTTTCCAACACTTTCTAACCTGTTTTTGACATGTCCTCTCTCGAACTTTCCCCTTTGGTGCGGTTCCGGGCACAGCCGGCAGGGGCGCCGGCGGCTTCCGGCGGGTGCGCTGATTCCCCCGCGGCTGCAGGGGGCGCTGTGGCGCGGGCTCGGCCGAGGCGGGCGGGCTCAGGGGTTGCCGGGCGACCGCGCTGAGGGGACACAGACCGCCCCCACCGCCAAACGGCCGGGAAACAAAGAAAGAATTAAAGAATTGCAGTGCAGGAAACCGGAGCGGATAGCGCACAGGAGTGGCCGCGGCAACACGCGGGTGGAGCTGGTCCCGGTGTTTCAGCTCCACACGCGCTGGTTCTGAGCTCCCTGCAGTCAGGCCTGTCAGGAAAATTAATCCACAAACACGCGAGGTTTATGTCCAAATAGGAGACAGAGGAGTCCTGTAACTTTAGTCGAATAAAGGGAGAGGTCATGGGCGTGTTCCATGGGGTCTCTCACATTTTTGGAGGACGCAGCCTCCTTTTTATCCTAATTTCCCGGCCGCTTTCCTTCTCTCTTTCCTCATTGCCTGAGGTACTTGTGAGGTACAGACTTCCTGGAATGCCTGATACCTAAGACCCCCTTCTAATGTAAATCCCCCCGCCTCTTTGTCTTTTCCTTGTATCAATCAGTGGAATTCCTATGGCATTAATAGTTTTTCCCATCGTTTCTTTCATCTCTCAGTATCCAATTTTATTTATCAGCAGACCCACAGTTTGTGAGGACAAATGCCTCGTTCCTTTCAGGCCGCAGGGAAACAGGCAAACTGCTCCTTACGAACCCAAAATCCCGGCCAAACCTCCGGGGTAGCCCCTTCCCTTTTTTTTTCCTGGACCATTTCAATGGAATGTTGCGACCCAGCGACACCTTTTGTTTGTTAATTGCCCCATTTGTCTCTCAGGCAACGCCGCTGCCCCCCATTGCCTTTCCATTTCTGGCCCATCCAGTTCTGCGTTAATTGCGGGGACTGAGGGCAGAGCTCCAGCCCCTTTTGCCCTTTCACGGTATCAGTGCCCAGGAAAGCTTCCACCTGTGCACATTTTTCCCTCTCAAATCACTCTGCCACACTGAATCGTTAAAACCGAAAATCGCGGACAAAGGCTCTCTAACTAGTCAAAGTTAGAAAATGAGACGTTTATTATGCACGGACGGGGTCGTTCCTGAAATGCGTGACCGCACCGCACAAGGATTTTTGCCTTCCATTTATTTCCCAAAATTATACATACGCACAACCCCAGCACCGCCCATCCCCGCTCTGTATTAAAATGAGGTTATTAGTCCTTCACGCGTGCGCAGTTCTTCTCTTTAATTGGGTCGGTGGTCTCGAATTGGGTCAGCGGTCCCAGGGATGAAGTCAGGAGGGTTTTTGTCAGATCTCTGTGACCCTCTGGCACGATCCAAGGCCTTTGTGATGGATTAACAGAGTCCAGGTGCTGAGCATTGCTCTACTGGTTTCAGTATGTTCCTATAATGCTTGCTCCACTTCTTTCTACAAATGAGCTCATAATATAACAATTAGCTTTAGCTTAATCATCTAATAATCATTAACTTATCGTTGGTGTATTTAACTTCAATATGAATTGGTTCTAAGCCTCAGATAAAATTTTTTAAATCGTGATTCACTACAACAAGGCTTTGTCTTCCCCTCTCACAGTTACTGATCCCCTCCAGCTCCCAGGGTGCCAGCAGCTGGCAGACAGGAAAGAAAATACAGGGAAGATGTAGATTGGATGCATTAACCTCTGACAGCCAGCACGAGGAAGGTGCTTTGCAGAGAAAGTCGTGTCTCTTTATAAAAAGCTCTGAGTTTCTCAGGCCCAGGACAGGTGGCTGTGTCACTGATTGGAGACTGGGAACAGGCTGCCCTGGCTGCAGCAAATCCTGTGGAAAGATGGGGTGGGAGACAAGTCCAGCCTATGGCTGGGTGGCCTCAGTGGTCAACAGGTAACGAACCTCTGGGTTGTTTCAATAATCAGAATCTTGGAGAAGCTTTGTCTGGGAAAGGAGCAGGGAAAAGATGAAAGTAAGGGAGGGAGTAGGAGAAAGTGTTAAGGGGGTCTGGGTCTTATTTGGGGTTTTTTAGTTATTTTATATTTTTTAAAGGCAGGCACAGGCATGCTGCGTGCAGCATCACTAAAAGAAGTATTGATGATGATGTTGATGTCATATTGGACTCTTATGACACTAATGTAATTTTATATATTGGGTTTGGTTATGTGGAGGAGCAGCTGATTCTACCCTTTTCCAGTCTGCTCTTTCCCATCTCCTGACTTTTCTTCCTGGGATGAAATACAGCAGTGTTCCTTAACATCCAGCTCCCAGAGCCAGCAATGTGTCCCACACTGTGGTTCTACGGCCTCTCAAGGCTGGGTACTTCACCTCTGCCACCATCACGTACCTGGCACAGGAGGGTGCCCAGGTGGTGGTAAGTGCCTGATTTCTGGGATCCCTGCTGACACACCTGCCCGCGCTGCCAGAGCTGCGTGGTCGAGGTGATGCCTGTCCGTGTTGCTGTCACCCTGCCCAGTTCTGGAGCGAGCAGGAAAGGTGGCAAAGCCTGTCTTTTCCCTGCCTTTTCCAGGTTGGCTTCACCAGTGCTCCCGGGCAGGGAGGAATCCTGGCTCAGCGTGACTTCGACAGGAGGTTCTCCCCTCACTTTGTGAGTACCTTTCAACTGACAGTGGAAAAGTGCACCACGGCAGCTGCAGCTCAGCGTGGCGGCTTCCTGCTCACCCAGGCCTGGCAGGCAGAGCAGGTGAGTGCCCCAGGCACAGGTGACGTGCTCCCCTGCCACCGTCCCTGTCCCCAGACTGGCAAAGGGGCAGAGACCCTGGATGTGGGGGGTCTGCAGGACCCTGGAGCGGTGCTGGCAGAGCCAAAGGCACAGCCAAGGGATTCCATAGCTGCCCCTGAGGGAAGCCCAGCACTGTCCCCTATTTGGGCAGGATGCTCTGAGGGCCAAGAGGAACCAAGAGGTCGCAGACCGGGAATGGCGGCGGCAGGAGCTGGAGAAGGCACGGAAGAAGGCCGAGCTGGAGCAGCAGCTGAAGCAGGATCAGCTGGAGCAGGTGGCCCAGAAGGAGCAGTACCTGGCCATGCAGGTGCAGCAAGACCGCCAGGAATTCCAGAGGGTGCTCAGGTGAGGCACACGGGACCAAGGGATGGCTGAGGCAGTGGCCAAGTGGCGCCCAGTTCCAGCTGGCGACTCTGGGGGCTCCAGTGCCAGCCCAGGTGCTGTGCCAGGTGTGGGGGGGCTGTGGCAGGGTCCCTGAGCCAGCCCAGCTCCTCCACAGGGCCCATCAGGAGCAGCTGGAGCTGGAGAAGCTGGAGCAGGAGCAGAGGGCCGGCCTGCAGCATGTCCTGGCCAGCGAGCTCCAGTGGCAGATCCAGGAGCTCTGGCAGCAGTGGGAGCAGTGGGCTCAGCAGGCTCCTCATCAAGGAGGGCCATGGTTGGGGCAGGAGGTCTGGCAGCACAGCCAGTGCCTCACCCAGCTCAGGCAGCAGGACCTGCAGGAGTTCAGGTCAGTAGCTGCCAGCGCTGCTTCTCTGGGCTCCATGGCATCCCATCCTGGGCCGCCTCTCAGGTGCCCTTGCATCCTCAGCAAGCCTGCTGAGGGGCCGTGGACACAGAGCCATTGGGATCCTGATGCGTTCTTTCCTCTGCCAAGCCACAGGAATTCCCAAGTACTGTGCCCAAGTGAAACACAGAGTGGAGGGCCTGGAGCTGAGCCAGCACAGCCCCAACAGGAACGAGCTCCAATTTCCCAGTGATTTGAGTGTTCAGTTTCATTTACTGATGTTTCCAATAACAGATGTTTCTGGAGCAGACAGTGTTTTCCATTCTTCCCTCGCCTCAGGGCTGTGAGGAAGGAGCCAGAAGGACAGGGCAGAGTTGGAGAAGCACTGAGGCTCTTTGTCCCACCTGCCCTACTCTGGGGACAGAGGTTGTCCCTTGCCCTGTCCCTTGTTTATCCCCAGTGGGATGGATTTCTTGGGGGAGGCTGTGTGCCCCCAGCCCAGGGTAGGGTCCTGACCAGCCGGGCTGTTCCACATCCCCAGCCCCACCTCGTTATTGCACTGTCACCTCTGGACCTTTCTGGGGAAAAGCAAAAGGACCAGAGCTTCTGTTTCCCCTGGCTAGCTGGTGACAAGAGAGGGGGGCGGCAGATTCCCCCTGGAGCTCCGTTGAATCCCAGGTGTCAGGTGTTTCGGCACATTATAAAACACAGGGAAGCACACAGGCCCCAGGGCCTTTATTTGATGGTAAACTTCCCCTTTTCCTCTCTCGGGACCCCGATAAAGGGGCAAACAAGAACTTATATGTGTGGGCAGGTCTCGGGGGAAGGTACAATCTTCAACAAATCAGGAGAATTGGGAGTAAAAAACCAGGCAGGGATCACAATGTATGAACCAATAAAATTCCAAGGGAAAAAAACCAGTTTCAATAAACTGCTAAAGTTTGGAGAAATAGAAACTATAAACTAGCTGACGAAATAACTGGGAAAAGGTGGAGACAAAAGGAAAACAGTATAAAGAACACTACCAAATTACAAATCAAACCATAAACCCACTAATAAAACAAAAAGCACGACACAACAGACCAGAGCATGATGCAAACATGTCAAATCCACAGTACTGGTACTAGTGGCTTCAGAGGGCCTTGTGAGAGATGCTACTCACTTCCAAAAATTTAGAAATTTATTAAACTTTATCAAAAATACAACAGAAGACTGAATAGAGAAAACATTACAGAGCTGGGAGCAAAGGATTTTTCCTACTATGTGCTCACCCACACAATGAAGATTTTGCCTTTTAACCCTTTTGCCCCTCCCAGAGTTCTGTCCATTGACTCCTTCCCTGTCCAGTGGTGGAGTTTACTTCCACAATCCTGATTGGAGGTCAGATGTCACCACGGTGACAAGTGTACCCTCCCAAATGTCCCAAACCCAAATCCTTGATAACAACACAAGGGGTAAAACATAACTGTAAATCTATAACACTTTTCTTAACATTTATACATTATATTTGCCTTTTAATTGTGAGAGTCAGTCATTGCATTACTTGTCTATCACAGCCTGAAGCCATGGGGTCCCACAGGAGCAGCTCAGATTAATTTTTATCCATGCACCACAGTGTCACCCCTCGTAGACACATTCATTTCTGCTTCTCCCTCTCTCCTCCCCCTCTGCTACGCGTGAGCAGCACAGAAATACTTGGATACACACTTCCATCCACAGGGATTGCACACAGAGCTGGCACATAACAAACACAGCATTTTTCACACCCAGCTTGCCCAGTGACATTCTAAAACAGGAATTCACAGGTAAGGCTTGTACTGCACACCAACCTACAGCATCCCAAGGGCCCCTGTGATTCTTTTCAATCGGCTCACTCCCCATGGGAGAAACAATGCTCACTTTTAAAATTTCAAAGGTTTATTAAACCTTAACAAAACACAACAAAAGACTGAATAAGGAAAAGATTACAGCGCTGGGAGCTTTTTATATGTCTGGAGCCTCCAAAAATCTGTCTGTCAGCTCCTTGTTTGTGATCCATTGGTGCAGATCACTTTCTTACATCTTGATTGGAGGTCAGTGTTGCCATAGTAACAGGCCTGCCCTCCTCCCAAATGCCCTGGCTACCAAGGCAGTCCAGTGACAATATTATATTATAAAAGAAATATTATAAAGAAATGCTGCCAGTACTATGCAACCAGCAATGCATGTCCTTGCCTAAAGCATCTGCTTCACAAAATTGGCTGTGAAGGTATCAGGAGTTTTTGTTTGGTTTTTTTTTGTTGTTTGGTTTGGTTTCTTTAAGCACAATGTCCCCTGTAATTAACCAGTGAGGTGGAGTTGTTTTAACAAATCGCTGACTTGAAACAGCTGATATTTTTCAAATGAGAGAGTTTATTTAGAACAAATTTTAATGTAAAGCGATGCTGAAGAAATTTAATTAATAATTTAATTTATCAATTAATATTTTAAATAAAATTATTAGGATGAGAAAATATAAAATAATTTTCATATTGGCAGCTAAGTCAGAGTAATAGTAGATAAAAGTGGAAACTTCAATGCAAAATTGTTCTAAATTATTGTCTTGATTTGAAAGACAGGTGTCTGCCAAGGAAGGCATGAACCTCCTTTGGAATGCAGAATATGACTCCTGTCAGGAAAATGAATCCACGAACATCAGAGGTTTATGTCCAGAAAGGAGACAGAGGAGTCCTTTTACTTTATTTAAATAAAAGGAGAGGCCATGGGGCATTTCCCTGGGGTCTCCCAAATTTCTGGAGGATGCAGCCTCCTTTTTATCCTAATTTCCCTCTCTCTTTCCCCATTTCTGAGGTACTTGAGAGGTACAGACTTCCTGCAATGTCTGATACCAAAGATTGCCCTCTAATGTATAACCCTCCCTTTTAATTCTTATGGAATTTAGGGTTTTCCCCCATTGTTTCTTTCATCTTTCAAAATCCAATTTCATTTATCAGCCAACCTACAGCTTATTTGTAAAGGCAAATCTCTTTTTCCATTCATCAATCGGTGGAATCCTTCCCATAGTTTCTTTTATCTCTCAGTGCTAGTTTTATCTGCCAGCAGACCTACAGCTTGTTTGTAAAGACAAATCAGTCATTCCTCTCACCCCCTTCCCTCCAAATTATTATAACTTTGAAATCAAAGGATTTTCAGGCAAAGATACGGGAAAAGGAATAACAGTTTTTTACTAGTATGTATGTGAATAACAAGGCAAACAAACAACAGCAGTGTTACAGATGGGTAATGCAATGGTTGGGTCTCACAATTAAGAGATGAATATTATGTATATGTTAAAAGAAATTTTTTTGATGTATTATTGTGATATTGATGTTTTAGTGTGTGATGTTCTTCCCAAAGTCCTCTTTCCCCCTGCCCTTTGTGTTGGTGTCACGGGATGTCCTCGGTAGCCAGGGCGTTTGAGGGGAGGGCAGGCTTCTTACTGTGGCAACACCTGACCTCCAATCAAGATGTAAGAAAGTGATCTCCACCAATGGATGGTGAAGAAGAGTTCACTGACAGACTTTGGGAGGGGCCAGGGTTACCTGATAAAACACCAAAGGTGTAAAAGGTAGAGCAGCCGTTTATTGAATGGGCACATGGCAGTTTAATTCCCAGTGCTGTATTTTGAATTATTCAGTCCTTTGTTGTATTTTGTTAAGGTTTAATAAACCTTGGAAACGTTTAAAAGCGAGCTTCGTTTCTCACAGCAGCAACAACAAAGAGAAAGACCAAACCAGAAAACCCTGTGAAGTCTGTTCCTGCTGGGGTGCAGTTCCAGGCACAGCGGCGCGGGTGGCTCCGGGCGGGCAGGGCGGGCACCGTGGTGCCTTGGGGTGGAAATGGGCATCACCATTTCATTTCCAGGTGTGTTCCATTCCTGTCTGTGGGGCACTTATCTTCATTGGGCAGTTCTCTTTATCTCTTCCACAAATATCCTCCCTTGGGGAGATAGCTTCTGTTTATGAGCCATTGAGTCTCACTGCATGACTGATAAAATTACATCGTCCCATTGGGAGATGCTCCGCCCAGAGGGAGGAGCCAAGCATTCCTACCTGGATATAATCCGATGTCTGGAACACCACAGCAGCTTTTGCCTGTTGGATTCCCAGAGGAGCAGCTTTCTTCTCTGCTGCATTCCCAGAGGAAGACCAGGCCCATCTACACCACCCCTGGACCTTCAGAGGAAAACTCCACCCTTCCACAGGATCACTGCTCCAAGAGAGCCACAGCTGGCACTGCAGGAGGACTGCGTCCCACTGAGTGGGACTGCTGCCAGCACTCTGACTCACAGGGTGTCAGGTCATATTCTGACTCTGTCAGTAGTTTTTTGTTTGTTTGTACTGCTACGTTTGTATTTTTAATTTTCCTAGTAAGGAACTGTTATTCCTGTTCCCATATCTTTGCCTGAGAACCTTTTAATTTCAAAATTATAACAATTTGGAGGGAGGGGGTTTACATTTTCCATTTCAGGGGATGTTCCTACCTTCCTTAAGCAGACACCTGTCTTTTCAAGCCAAGACAAGGGGGTTTGAATTTCCCAGGCTTGGATAGCGGATTGGTTGGGATCCCTGCACTGCCCAGCTCTCTGGCCAGTGATGTGCCCACATTTAGGATTGAATCAGGTTGGCTGAGGTCTCTGGGTTTGAATCTAACTTATCCCTGCCTTATCTGGGACTTGTTTTACTTCTAGGCTAGTTGAGTTTGGGGGTCCAGTGTGCTATTTTCGGGGTCCCTGGATGGAGAAGAAGGAATGAATCTGACTCCATGTTCTTAGAAGGCTAATTTATTATTTTATGATATTATGTCATATTAAAGAATGCTATACCAAAACTATACTAAAGAATAGAGAAAGGATACAGACAGAAGGCTACAAAGAATGATAATGAAAACTTGTGACTCCTTCCAGAGACCCAACACAGCTGGCCCATAATTGGCCAATAAGTAAAACCAATTCACATGCAACCAATGAAACAATCACTTACCACATTCCAAAGCAGCAAAACAGAGGAGAAGTAAATCAGATAATTATTGTTTACATTTTTTTCTGAGGCTTCTCAGTTTCCCAGGAGAAGAAATCCTGGTGAAGGGTTTTTTCAGAAAATATGGCAGTGACAGTCCCATATGGCCAAATTTATCTGGCAGCTACAAGCCAACTGCAACCGTGGCAGACAGCTCTGCTTGTCAAATCTGCTTTCCTTTTATGACACAGTAACCCACCTTGCTAATCAAGGGAAGCCAGTTGATGCAATCTTTTTGGATTTCAGCAAAACTTTTGATACCATCTCTCCTTCTGGACAAACTGTCCAGGACACTGGACAAACACATCATGTGTGTCAGCAACTGGCTCACGTGCCAGCACAAAGGGTGGCAGTGAATGGTGTGACTTCAGACTGGCAACCAGGCACTAGTGGGGTTCCAGGACTCTGTCTTAAGCCCAGCACTCTTGAACATCTTCATTAAGGACTTGGATGCAGGGCAGGAAGGGACACTCAGGCAATTTGCAGATGATACAAAACAGGGAGGAGCTGTCCACTCCCAGAAAAGCAGAGAGGCCTGGACAAATTAGAGGGCTGAGTTATCACCAACTGTATGAAATTTAACAAGGGCAAGTGTCAGATCCCACACCTGGAACCCCACTTGTGTGTATAGGCTGGGGAACGAGAGGCTGGAGAGCAGCTGCAGAAAGGGACCTGGGGCTCCTGGTCCCTGGCAGGTTTTTCTGAACCGTGAGGGTGAGGCCTCCCACAACATGGCAGATGGAGGCTGTTATGTATATGTAATTCTTGCTGTTTAGAATATAAAAATAAATACAGGTTACAATGTTTAGAAAAAATATATAAGGATGATTTAAACTCACATACAGAGTCTGAGGAATTCTACATGCTGTAGATAGACCACATACCATTACAAAGATGGCAGGAAGGGAACTATTTACAATCAAAAAGGCCTAGGGGGTGGAGACCAACTACACCTAAAAAATTATTACTTGAGGTCAAGATAGTGGGAGCCATCAAAAGAATCCTGTAATCTGTAACCTCATCACTGCCTGCCCAGAACTGTATTGTCAAACACAACCCAGAGGAAGGGGACAGCATGAATATGTCTGACCAGCGCTCATCGATGGCCAGGAACTGTATCCTTCAGTCCAGCTCGAAGAAAGGAAACAACATGAATATGATTGACTGTGAAAAGAACAAGAGGAGACCCTGCCTTGAGCCAGAAAAACAGGATAAAACCAGACTGTACCAGACCATAGTTGTGAACACAGGGGGGTCTGATGCACTAGAGATCGGACCACGGTTCACCCAGCGTT